AAAAAAAAAAAAAACAAAAAAAACCTCAATGGATGTAAGTGTAATTTCCAGACAAGATATAATGGCTAAGGTAACAAGTTACCAATTTCCATCAAGTTCTACCAGTGAATTTCTATTCAGATTAAGCATCCTTCTGATCAAATACACTTATGCCACCTTGAATGAGTGGCTACTCAGCAGGCTCTACATTGTTCTTCATCAAACCAAAACCAAACTCACTGTCTCTGAGTTAATTCTGATAGAGAGATCATCTAAGACAGAGCAGAACTGCCCCAGAGAGTTTCCAAGGCTGCAAATCTGGACAGAAGCAGATGCCTCATCTTTCTCCCAGAGTGGCTGGTAGATTCAAACTGCCAACCTTTTGGTTAACAGCCAAATGCCTTAACCACTGCACCAGAGCTGCTATTTCTAAGACTTCTAACGATGTCTAGAATTTATGTGCTTTCAATGGAATTATTTAACTTAATGTACAACCCTAATACTCAACTTTTTCAGCCTGCCTCAGAATTCTACTGCTACTAGTAGTTTGTACATCTCAAAAATGCAAAACCTAGCTAGAATCTCCCCATCTTCAAACAAGTTACCCAAATGTGAAAAAACACTCAAGCATTCCTGTTACCATGCAGAGGTCAAACAATTTATTACACCTAAATTAACAATGAAGTCAATCTATACATGCTTTTTGGAAATAGGCTAGATGAAAAGCAGTCTGCAAAGTGTGACAAGAAATGTTGTCGGAACTGTGCAAATTACTTTATATGGCAGCCAAATTACCTAGAGTAGGATAGAAACTCATTCAGACTGAGAGTAACAAATACAGAATTGAGGAGGCCAGTGGAAGGGCTAAATGACTACTCTCAAAGATGGTAGGGCATATTCCTTAAATTTTCTTAAAGACCAAAAATATAAAACATTGTGACAGTGCAATATTACAGCCTAGAGTAGATCTGGGTTGCACTCCTAGCTCCATTACCTACTGGGAATGGACATCTTGAAAGTGTTTAAAGGCAAAGGAGCCACTGTGAAGACTAAGGTGCACCTCACCCAAGCCATGGTTATTTTCCATAGCTTCATATACGTTTGAAAAATGGACAATAAGGAAGACCAAAGAAAAGTCGAAGCCTCTGTATTATGGTGTTGCTGAAAAATATTGAATACACCATGGACTGCCAGAAGAACGAACAAATCTGTCTTGGAAGAAGTATAGCCAGAACGCTTCTTAGAAGGGAAAATGGCAAGACTCTGTCTTTTGTACTTTGCACATGTTATCAGGAGGGCCCAATCCCTGGAAAAGGACATCATGGTTGGCACAAGGTCAGTTAGAAACACCCTCAAGATGGAATGACATGGTGACTGCCAACAATAGGCTCAATCATAGCAATGATTGTGAAGACCAGACGCTTTTGTTTTGTTGTGCATGCGATTGCCGAGTTGGAACAGACACAACAGCATCTAACAACACGTCACTGAAAGCAGTTTGGATAACTTCAATATCTCTATATAATAGAGAGACAAGGATTAGTAATAACAAATTCAAAGCCTTTCCCACAGTTCCTAAGAAATATGTTCAATAGCAGTTATCACTAACCTTCTTCCGGAAAATTGGCTTAGTCTGCCCACCATATCCACTCTGTTTCCTGTCATAACGCCGCTTTCCTAGAAAAAGAAATATTTGTTACAATACCAGGTCACAATAGGCGCATGGCAAAGTCTTCTGCTGGGGTTTATATCCAGCCTTCCAACAGAAATCCAACGCCCAAGCTTAATGGGAACAAAATACTAGGCTCCTGTATTAACAGTACTGTGCAAATATTGTCAAGGATTTCACTTTATTTGAATTCATAATCAACACCCATAGAAGCAGCAGTCAAGAAATCAAAGGAAGGCACCTAACAACGCAAATGCCACATTAAAACCAAATTACAGAAAAACCTTACCCTGGGCATATAGAGAATCTTTGCCCTTCTTATACTGTGTCACTTTGTGGGGTTGGTGCTTGCCACACTTCTTACAGAAAGTCCGGCGGGTTTTAGGAACGTTCACCTATTAAGTAAACCATTCAGAATGTGCAGCGTTATCAGACCACAGTAATATAACGCCCGAACCACCAGGACACTTAACTAACACACAGTGCTCAGGTAGCTGACTACCAAGAGGCCCAGCACCACGTGCTTCGGTAGAACGCCCTCCTAGAGCCCCCGAGAGGGAAGGTCATATTAACTCCACCCCTCCTCCCCCAGAGGACTGACCACCCCGTAAGTCGACCACTTTCGTCCCACCACTTCAATTCCTAGCCCCAGAGCGTAGTCCCTTTGGAAACAAACCAGCCGAATTGGGTTTCCTTAGTACATCGAGTCCACGTAGGGATTTGGACTCATTCTGGGACAGTACCGTCAACAAGAGGGAAAGACCAAAGTGGATGTTACAAAGCCCGCTCCCAAGGTCCTACCATGTTCGCGGGAGTGCTACCAGCACCAAAAGGAGACAGAAAGGCCGGAGACGGAAATATATACGAGGTTCGTGCTCGCACTTCCACATGGGAGGCGGTGGGAGCGACCATAGAGTCTAACCCTCTGTGCGCAGCGCCCTCACAAGGCTGAGAGGACTCGATTTGGAACCGCGGGGGGAGCTTACGGAAGAGCTCTGCCTAAAGTGGGACTTCTCTTGTCTACTTTCTCCCATCTCCCAACTTAGCAACTTTTTAGCACATTCTGACTTTCTGGGGACGCAGGTGCTCTTCCCAGACCCTCTGACCACCTCTGCATCTAGGAGAAGCAGGACTAGGGTCAAGTGGAGGAGCCCTCCACCTCCATGTTCCATTCCTGTTTCACCTCTAGACTAATGGAAACATTTTTTGCAGTGAACTACTGATTTCCTGCAGACTCCCCAAACCCCAAAATCAAACCCACTGCCATGGAGTTGATTCAGACTCATAGTGACCCCTATAGGGTTTGCAAGGCTGTAAATCTTTAGGGAAGCCAACTGCCTCATCCTTCTCCTGTGGAGTCGCTGGTGGGTTTAGAACCGCTGACTTTTTAGTTAGCAACCCAATGACTTAACCACAGCATCATCAGGGCTCCTTCCCTGAAGGCTTAGAGGGTACCAAATACTCCAGTTGATCTATCACATGTTCCATTCAATAAATGTTTATTGAATGCCTATTGGAACCCACCAGCTGCTCTGAGGAAGAAACATGAGGCAGCCTACTTCTGTAAAGATAAACAGCCTTGCAAACACTATGAGGACAGTTGTACTCTGTCCTATAGGGTCGCTATGAGTCAGAATCAACTTGATGGCAGTGCATTTGGTTTTTGATGTGCCAGCCAGGGTTATTAAGCATTTAAAATGGATTCTCATATAATTCTCACAGTAGTTCTAGGACATAAGTGGCATTATTATTCCTGATTTAACCATGTGGAAATCGAGGCTGTAGGATGTTAAACTGTTTGCCCAATGTAGACAGTATTTAGTGGATCCAGGCTACAAACCCAGGTGATCTGACTCCTGAGTCTATGTGCCTTTACCATTATATAGTACTGCTATGGTAGCCTAATAATTATTACAGCTAACGATTATTGAGCACTTATATGCCAGGCATTCTCCTAAACCACCTTACATACTCTTTTAAGCCTGACAACATTTCCAGGAAGCATGTACCATTATTCATATTTTACAAGTGATGAAACTAAGGCACAAGTAGCATGAAGTTCACTTACCAATGTAATATGAGGGATTGTTTTGTGGGTCTGTTATTTGAACTCAGGTAGTCTAACACTACAGCCTTGCACTTAACCCACTGCATTATACATGGGAAACGGGATGGTGAGGAGAGACAATTGGACTGATGTGAGCTAAGACGCAGGAGAAGGTGCCAGTGAATTAGGGGCTAAGGAACTACAAGAGCTTGGGGTCTCCTGTTTGCATAACCCTTCAGGAACAGCCACAGGTGCTGAGATGACTCTTTGATCACTGCTTTTTTGTCAGGTGGCCCCCAGATATGAGATAATTAAAACATTGCCACTACCTGGGAGATCTGATGACATAGTGCCTAAAGCATTTGACTGCTAACCAGGAGGCTGGCAGTTCAAACCCACCAACCACTCCTCAGGAGGAAGGAGATCTGGGTTCCATTCCCAGCCTATGCACCTCAAGCGCAGCCACCACCCATCTGTCAGTGGAGGGTTGAGTGTTGCTATGGTGATGGACAGGTTTCAGTGGAGCTTCCAGACTAAGACAAACTAGGATGAAAGGCCTGGTGACCTACTTCTGAAAATCTCCCAACGGAAATGCTATTGATCACAATGGTCAGATCCACAACCAATCAAACGATGGTGCAGGTCCAGGCAGCATTTCATTTCATTTCTTTCTTTCTTTTCTTTTTCTTTTTTAATTTTATTGTGCTTTGGTGCAAATTTACAGAGCAAAATTTGTTTTACATTTAACAGTGGCATATACATTTGATTTCACGCCCCAATTGCCATATCCGATCATAACAAACTCTCCTCCCCCACCGTCCCTGTGACTACCTCCCCTCCGTGTGCCCTTCTTAACTATGCATTCCTGTCTGTCCAGCTGTCCCTCTATGTGAATGCTGCCCCTCTGGTGCCCCATGGCTGATTGTTCTAAGGGGAGCATCTCCTAGACTAGGTTGGTGCATCGCCCTGGGGTAGGTGTTCTTCATGTAGGTCTTTCTTCTGTTGTGCTGAGATACAATCCATGGGAGTGAGTCCAATTCTAGGTCAGCATTTCATTTCACTGTGCTGGGGCTGACTCGATGGCAACAATAACAATAATATTTATTTAAAAATTCAAATTCCAATTGATTTAATAAAAAATTCTGATAGACTTATAATGGGATCTGTGACCTGTTTGTACATTGTTGTTGTTGTTATGTGCCATCAAGTCGGATCCGACTCAAAGTGACCCCTCCTTGGGTTTTCGAGGTGGTCTCACTATGGAAGCAGATTGCCCAACCTTCCTTCCGAGGAGTGGCTGGTGGGTATGAACTGCCAGCTTCTGGTTAGCAGTCAAGTGCCTTAGGCACTACTACCAGAGCTCCTATGGTATGATATTATCTTAGTTATCTAACCAAAACCAAACCAAACTCATTGCCATTGAGTAGATTCCAACTCATAGTGATTCTATAGGACACAGTAAAAGTGCCCCATAGGGTTTCCAAGGCTGTAAATCAGACTGCCTCATCTCTCTCCCATTAGCAGCTGGGGGGTTTAAACTGCCAAGCTTTTGGTTAGTAGCCAAATGCCTTAACCACTGTGCCACCAGAGCTCCTCTTAGTTCTCTGGTGCTGCTAGAACAGAAATACCACAAGTGGATGGCTTTAACAAACAGAAATTTGTTTTCTCACAATTTAGGAGGCTCTGACTCTGAATTCAGGGCACCAGTTCCCAGGCGAGGCTTTCTCTCTCTGTTGACTTTCAGGGAAGGTCATTGCCTCTTTTCTGCTTCTTTTCCTTGGCTCCTTGGTGATCTGCATGTGGCTCACTTCCCTGCTTAATCTGCTCTTTTTATATCTCAAAAGACATTGATTTAAGGCACACCCTACACGAATACTCCTTGGAAGCAAGAATGGCCAGACTTCATCTCACCTACTTTAGTCATGTTGTCAGAAGGGACCATTCCTTAGAGAAGGATATCATGCTTGGTAAAGCAGAGGGTCAACGAAAAGGGGAAGGCCCCCAGCAAGATGGATCGACACTGTGCTTGCAACGATGGGCTCAGGTATAGCAAGAGTTGTGAGCCTGGCACAGGACAGGGTGATGTTTCGTTCTGTTGTACATAGGGTCGCTGTGAGTCTGAGACAACAAGACGGCACCTAACAACAAGAACAAGAACAACAACTACACTAGTACTGCCTCATTAACATAACAAAGAAAACCAAATGGGATTGGAGCCACAGGTATAGGGTTGAGGGTTTACATCACATATTTAGTGGGACAAAATTCAATCCATAACAGGTGCTTGTCCAGTAAACTGGTTGCTGTCAAGCCGATTCTGACTCATGGCAACCCCATGTATGCCAGAGTAGAACTGGCTCCATAGGGTTTTCAAGGTTGTGGCTTTTTGGAAGTAGATTGCTAGGCCTTTCTGAGGTCCCTCTGGGCAGATTTGAACTGCCAACTTTTCGGTTAGTAACTGAGTGCTTAATCATTTGTGGCACTCAAGGACTCCTGTTTCTACTTTAAGGTACAGTGCTTAGGGACAAGCAGATGTGGGAGTACCGGATGTGTCAAGGTAGGCAAGCAGATCAATCACCAGGGCCTCTGCTGCATCACTGTCTGCAGCCAGCAGTGGCTGCATTTCTGAGGAGAAACTTTGGGGAGAATATTGCAATTGAAGTATAGGCTAGGAGACCCTTGAGAAAACCCCCAGGCTTCAAGTTATGCACCTAGTGCATTTGATCACTTTATAGGGTTAAAAGGAAATGTATTAATTAAGAGTTAATACCTGAGGCCAAATCTTAAGTGGAGAAAATCAACATCCACAGAAAATGGGGAAGGCACAAGTCTTTGTTAGGGCTTACATTCTGACATTTTTATCTATCTATCTATCTGTCTATAAAATGCTTTCTTAGAAAATGACTCAGCAGGGGGAAGTCTTGTCAGGCTCTGTACTTTGAGGTCCCTGTGTGAGCACCCTCCATCCTTCACCATCGACTCTACCTGTGTGACCCTGAGTCTCCTCCACCTCAGAGCCTCGAAAGACATTCTTCCTCAGCAGTTCCTTCTTCCTATCTTAGCCAGTCTCTGCAGTTCTCTTTCCTTTACATGTCCACTGTCTTTGCTGACCATCCCCACAGTCCTTCAGGCATGTTGTCCCTTTCCTTTGGGTGAGCTAGGCCTGCCGACTCATCTGTTCCACCCTGTCCCTTCTAGAGTCTCAGTGGCTTCAGTAATGGTGAGAAGGGTTCTTTCAGAGCAGGAAGCATGATAGTCATGTCAGAGGTCCCAAGCAAATGAAGGGCGGGGTCAGCTGGGGAGGGAGGGTGGAACAGGGACAGCAGCAGGGAACCAGATACCATGCTGCTGAGAAGAAGAAGAAGAAGAAAAAAAAAAAAAGACATTGGTTTAAGTCAGGAAACAAAAAAAGGGAACTGAGTGGCTGTGAAAGGGTGGGGTTTGCTCAGGCTGTCCTTCCTCTCTGGACTGTTAGAATATGTCTCCAGGGCCAGTGTCTGCTGAGATCAAGTCCCACCTTCAAAGTCCTGGCATCTCAATGCATCTGGGAATCTACCTGCTTTAAGTCAGGACTGAGGTGGGTCTGGGTATGGCAGGGGCTGGGCAGCAACAGCTAGTACCTTTCTGGGGGTTCCTGAAGGCCAGCGAGAAAGCCAGGCTGGTGCCATAGAGTCCGCTGGTGGAGGAGGCTGCCGGAGGGGGGGAGTGTCATCAGCACAAGGTCCTGGCAGTCCCTTCCAGTGATCAGAATGGGCTTTATGGGTCCTTTCTGCAGAGGGCTATGGGGGAGACACAAAGAGAAAAAGGTAACAAGAGATGACCATCTGAACAGGTAGCAAATGTTGGAAAAAGGCACCTCTGCAAA